AAAATACGGTATTAAATAGTCTAGGGAGGTAATAGGTCCTCATGAAAGTTTAGTATCGCAACAGCAAATCCGACCAAAATTGAAATATTTTTCAGACCCTTATCCCTATAATATAATTCCCCATAAGAGGATTTGAATAAATCCCTAAACTCTACATAGCTTTGTCCCTAACTCAGGTCCACACCAAAATCTAGTTTTACATAATATTGGTATTCAACACATAACACTTTAATTTTAAACAATATAAATTCGTTTAAACTTGATACATTCAATAACTATTCACATTCATCAGATTAGCACTCAAGGGTAGCTACAAATATTAACTATATATTTTTAGTATTTTATTGTTTGATAAAATGATATACTTGGATATAACATATGATAAATAACATAGATTTTTTTCATTGAGTAAATACATTATATATACACCACATACTAGATATATTATTACAGAAACTCCACAATTATTTGATAATGGTAAAATGTTAATTAGACAATTGAAATCAAATCGACGCAAAATCGAAAAAATAAAAAAAACATGTGAATTATCACAAATCAATTGAATTTATGGGAAACAGACTATATATCCTTAGCTCTCAATTGAACTCAAATAGCAAGCATCAGACCAAGCCTAATTAAACAAAAAGAAATCAAATGAATCCACAAATGAATGACTTTATGATTAATTAAGAATTTTTTTTAACAAACAATTAAAAGAATTGTCCCTAATCACTTGAGTTTAGGAATCCACCCAATAACATTATTAGTAATCCACCCAATAGATTTGAGTCCTTTAATTGGGAATCCACTCAAAGCGAATAATTAAATTGTCAACTACAAATCTTTCAAGAGAATTCTTAATTTCACTACCATAAATATTGAATCAATACTATAATGTTTGACATTGTGAATAAAAGATACAATAATAACGGATGAGATATTACAGTACTTGAAAAATCGTAATTTTGATACATATATTTATATATAATTTTCAACTGCTCAATTTGAATCCCCAAATAAAAATCAATCGAGATGTACCTTCAAATGCAGATTTCGAATGATTATGATCGTTTACATATCGATTCATGTTGATTTTTCTCGTTCAAAGACGTTGAAGAAAAAATAATTCAATCTTGTAATCTATTTTTGAATTAGAGATATTATGACTCTAGAAATAGATATCATGCGATTTGTTCTTTTATATTAAATCTCCGATACAATTTCCTAACGTGTCTGATACAACCTATCACAAAAATGAAAGTATATTGATAAATATAAAAAAACATGTTAAATATGATAATTAAGCTCCAAAATCTTGCTATTTATGAATTTTTTAAAAATAAATAAAAAACAAACTATTAATTCAAAATTGAACTTTATATTGCTTATACAAATTTGAAAAACTAATGCAAACTTATTTGGTAAAATTTGAAATATGTAATCTTCCAAACTTTTCGTAATCCAAACGCCGACTACTATTTTCACACCCCAAATTGCTTACAAATACAATTTCACACCAACCTTCGCCGTGAAACTCGTCGAAATCTACCCAAAATTCGCCTGAGATTTTTTTGGGTTATCGAAACCGGTTGAAAAAGATAAGTTTAAGGGATTAGAAGGAGGCGATTGCTGTGAAAATTTGAAGATGGGGAAGAAAAGGAAGTCTCTAGCATCGAGCCTTGATGAGGTGGATCGAACCATGTATTCGACTTTCTGTAGCGCTGCTAATTCCCTTTCTCAGCTTTATACTCAGGCTATGAACCAACAGAAGCTTTCCTTCCTCTCCGGTGAACGCCATGGAATGGTAATTTTTAGTTTTTTAATTTTCCGTTTTTGATATGTTATAAAAATTTGTTCTTTGTTGGCTGTATAGTTTTATGTTTGATTTTCGGTATCTGGGTAAAGTTTTTTTTGTTGTTTAGTTTGGAATTTGAACTGAGGTTCGGGAAGTATTGTTGGTATGGATAAGGTATGAGGGTAGTTGTATGATGAAAGGCAGTAGAAAAATAGGTCTTACTATGTGGATTTCTACCGTCAATACCGACTAGTTTGGTATCCGGGTCAGCTTTCGTGCACCGTAAACTAATTTCATGGGATAGCTGACACCTTCCACCAACTTTATCCACCAAGGCTAGGACAGATGGGAAGAATTACCTAGTGTTTTTGTTTCCGATGGGATTGAACTTGAGACCTTATGGCTCTCAATAACTTCATTGACCACTAGGCCACACCCTTGGGTGCAGTTTGGATTGAGGCATAGTTTTTTTTTTGATCTTTTTCATTGTCGAGGATTGGGTCATCGTCGATTCACTTCCAAGGAATAGTCTTTTTCCCTACTTTGTGTAGTTTTGAAATGCTTAACTCTGTCTATGTGAGTTTTGTTAAGTAGAGCAGGTCCAAAGTAAAGGAGGAGAGTTGTGGTACTATGAAAAATAAGTCACTATGAGGATTATAGTCAATACCAACTAGTTTGCTCTGAGGCATAGGTGTTTTTTTCTCCAAGAATTGAGTCATAGTTGATTGATTATTGTATGGAGTTGGAGCTTTGCATTCTTTTTTCTTTTGATTTTTGGTGAACCCTATCCCCAAAATCTTCTAGGAGGAACCAAGTAGTGATTTTTCCAATTTGTTCCCTTGGTGACTGGAACCATCAACCTCATTGTGCATTTACATTCCTACATGGTGAAGCATGGGGTTTAGCAAATTATTGATTAATTTAAGAATGATTTTAGCTGCTTATGCCATTAACAGGTCAATAATTGAGTATTACTGTGCAGTGTGCACACAAGCTAAAATCATTCAAACTATTAATGTGTGCTCAAACAGCTCGAGCACCACCATCATAAAAGAGAAGGCGAAAGAAGTAGGAACAAGTTGCATTCTGCGCTAAAGTTCAAACCGTACGCTTCAAGTCATTAACATAAGAAGTAAGGAATTCTTATGCAGTTAGCTGCCAAAGGAGATTCAGTTTTGATATTCTTATGAAAGGATAAAATATGTTTTACTGTATATAGGAATCATATTGGACACAGTGAGTTTGCCTCTCCAAAAATAGTAACGGTTTGAGCTTAATTTCTGCTTTTTTTTCTTTTCAACTATAGTTTTCGTAACTTTATATGAACAAAGCTGCTTCTTTTTTTAAAAAAGAATTTTTAGATTTGGACAAAAAAAGTAAAGTAAAGCAGGGATTGTGTGTATTGGCGTTGTGCTATTATAAATGCGCTTTGCTTGAAAGTGTTCTCTGCAAAATTGATTTTTTGGGGAAGATGGGCAGTTGTGTTTCATCTGTTCACTGGAAATTTCAACAATCATTTTCCCCACATTTTTGTTTTCAATTACCATTTTTTTTCTCAAAAAAATAGTAGGATTCATATTGGAAAGTGGAACAGGGATTTAGTTTTGGGGAGAGGTGTGGAAGAACAATTCTAGAATAAGCATTCCCACAGAACTTGAAGTAGTGATTAGCAGGATGCTATGGCGAGATAGCCTTATCCAAGGCTACTGGTCATTGGAGGAAATTGAGGAATTTCTTCGCAGGTGTATGAGTGGCCTACAGGAGATTTTCTGTGATGGGGATAGAAAGGAGGCAGGGAAGAAGTATGGGATACCAAAGGCACCTGAGGAAGAGCTTTATTTGATTGGTTTGTGGTGTAAAATGCAATATTAGCAGCATATAATTCAAGGAAAAGAAGATTGCAGTGAGTAAGTATAGCTTGTGTATAGAATTGGAGAAAACACATACCGTAATCTGATGCATTGCATAGTCACTCCCAGTGTTATCAAAGGTGAAAAGTGCAAAAAAGCTCTAAGGTTCATTGGGGCTTTAAGCGAAAACCGCAAATAAAGCATGAGCTTTAATGAAAAAAGGCGTAAAGGGAGAACAAAAATACAAATATATATGTTTAGTCCAAAACTAATAATTATAAACATGAATGACAAATATATGAACAAAGAAATTGAAAAAAATTTATGATAATGTAAAATATCAATTTCTTAGTGTCGCCTCTTCAACAAAGGCTCATTGGCAAGGATAAGTATGTCTTAGAACCTTGATGACGACCCTAAAACGCACATAAAGCGACGCGAAGCGAAGCGCTCAACACGTTTTGAGCCCCGGTTTAAGGCTTAAGCACGTCTTTGACAAACATTGGTCACTCCATAGCTTTGAAATCTCGCACTTCCTCTTTTTTCTTTTGGATTGGTTATAGATCGATAATGTGAAGCAGAGACCAAAGACCATCACTAGTTGGAGATTATAGAGGATTCAACATGGAGAATAAGGCTATCCGAAGAAGAATGCCTTCTTCTTTTTTCTTTGACAATTGGAATTTAGAGGGTCAGGAGATTATTGCATAATAGAGAGAGCATTCCCCATGTGTAAATGTTGTTTATCTTGATTGACAAGTGTGGTTGAGCCACTCACACCCTTTGTAAGTACTTTTGATGCTGAATTGGTATGTAATCAATGAAACAATTGTGACTGTTAAAAAGAAACAAAAGGTCTATGGATCTTGATTGGACTGTGCACATGTGAATTATTTCTTGATACTTAATATGTAGTTATGGTTACACTAGCTTGTGCCTGCAAGTATTTGGTTTATAAGCATAGACTTTAAGGCTTCTAGATGTTTTTCTTGGAAGACTTCCATTCCATTTCAAAAAATGTTTTTTCTTGGAAGACATGCTGTGATATTTAATGTTAAATTATTCTACTTCTGTTTGTCAGGATTCTATTTTTTGATGAATCCTTGCATATTGTCCTTTTGATGGTGTTTATGATAACTAATCTCACATTGTTTCAATAGGAAAAACTGTATCAATGGATCTTGAGGCAACAAGAGGGTGGATCCAGAGTAACAACTGTTGACATAATGAACTACCTTCAGGTTTATTTTCTATTATCTCAATTATGTAGCCACCTTTTTTCATGGTTGATATGTTTGATTTTCCTTTCGTGTTGATACTATGGAGCTTTGACTTCTTAGCATAGAGCAGACGAGTTCCTTATCTCCTTAAAAGGTCAATATACTCTTGAAAGCTTGATCTAGATCTTTTCTAGTCCACGAATTACCACATGATCCCTTTCCCACCAAATAAAGGGAAAAGGAATCACGGAGTCTCAATTCTGTATCTCTTTTTCGGCCAATTGGAAAATTGGCACTGTCACAAACTCTCAAATTGCTCTTTTGAGGGTAGTAATGTAGATTACTGACAAAAAGAACAGAACTTAATTTTGTATGTTAATCAACATTTTCATCTTGAAATCCCAGAAATAATAATCAGTAGTATGTTTGTTTGGTTTTTGAAGAAGATTATGTTTGTTTGGTTTGAGGAAGTTGTAATCTCAATTTTACTATTATGGAGAATGTCCAAATCTGACTTTTTTAAATTTTCTTTGGAAGATTTAAAGAACAACAATTTGGAATTGACGAATGGATTCAAATTTATTAAAGAAGTACAGGTATTAAAGAGCATGAGATTTTAGGTATTACCCCTTTTACCCAAAGATTCTCTGGATCTGGTTATCCAAAATTAGTGCTGCAGCTACAGATACAGTTGAGTCTTTTTGAGTTTTGTTGCAAATGCCTAATTACTTCTAGGAGAGAGTGAGAAACCATGGCTCCTCTGTAGTTTTTTTGTGTGCAATCATTTGAGGTAGACACCATTAGAGATTCAAAGAATGCTGGCAGTATGTTGTTGAAACAATTGGCTTTATTTTTCAGTGAGTGAATGGATCACAGTTCACAAGAACTAAGACACTATGGATGATAATGTGATTGTCTTTCATTGGTGGCTCTAGTGTCTCCGCCAACTTTCAAACTCAAGATTACAGACTAGATTGTATCCATAAAAGGGACTTCTATTTGGATTTACTCTTATCTGTTATTTTAGCTTTAAGTTTTTCTGCAGTGAAACAACAAATTAATCTTTCTCACTGATCAAACAAAAGCAACAAATTAATCTTGCTCATACTCAATTTGAGGACCATCTATTTATTTTCTTGCCTGGACAGACATTTTACTTCTCTGTCATGGTTGAAATAGGTGCTCTTTACGGAACTGTAATTTACTGGGAACCTTCTGCCTTCCTTTTTGAGATGTAAGACATTTTCAGTGGCAATGAGAATTGATGTTTGGTTTTAGTGATATTCTTTTTAGTTTCTTGCAGGAAGCTTACAGAAGTCTTTGTGGATGATAACTAGCAGGAACAGATTTTTAGCTTAATCTCGTTAAATTTGTTATGCTTAAAGTCTGGAGAAATCACCCTTCAAGGTGGTCCAGTGGTTTGAGCTTGGAACTTCCATGTTGGAGGTCTCAAGTTCGAAACCCCTTGCCAGCGAAAGCAAGGGGTTTGCCTTTTGGGTCGAGCTCATCACACCGGGCTTGCCTAGTGACCACCTCTCCTATGTGGTTTGTGAGCTATTGCATAGGACCGGAAGTTTTACCCTATGCGCACCCAAAGGGTAACGGCTGTGGGTTTCCCTTGTCATAAAAAAAGGGTCTCAAGAAATCATCACTTTTTGTCCCAGATGAAAAATCTTTTAAAATTAAAATTTAAGTGACAACGCTTTTAGATGGTTCTCTATTACCAACCGCAATAGGTGTTTCTCAAGCAAAATCATGATTGATGAAGTTAACATTAAAACGAGTCTGGAACAATGTGCTTGAGAAATGTGAAATGAAGTTAGCAAGATGGAAATCAGAATATCTCTCTAGGGGTGGTAGGCTGACCTTGATTAATTCTGGTCTTGATTCACTACCAACCTTTATGATGTCAGTGTTCCCAATCCCCAAAAGGGTAATCACTAGGTTGGATAAAATCAAAAGAAAATTTCTCTAGCAAGGAATCAGTAAGAGAAAAGGCTACAACCTGGTTAAATGGGATGCTGTAATAGTGGGAAGGAAGGATGGAGGTCTGGGAATAAAGAACTTGATTAATTAGAGCAAACCCCTTAGGATGAAATGGCCGTGGAAGTTCAATAATGAAGAACAATCCTACTTGAAGGAAGTCATTAAGGCGAAATATGCAGAGGAAGACAACTGCATGACCAAAGAGGTGACTACACCATATGGGGTTAGTTTATGGAGATCCATTAGATCTTTATGGTCTGAGTTTAAGGCTAACACAAAGATCAAAATGGGGAATGGAGAGAAAACAGAATTTTGGAAGGATGTTTGGAATGAGGCAGGTAGGCGAGAGGTTTTGTATTCTGATATATATTCACTAGTATCTCACCAACAGAAGACCATAGTAGATCACTAGACTCCTCAAGGGTGGAACTTCATCTTTAGAAGACAATTAAATGATCGGGAGATTCAAAGGGTAGCAGATTTTTTCAACACCATCGAGCAATTTAATGGACTGGAAAGGGGTCAAGACATTTTGTAGTGGAAAGGCAGTTTTAAGGTGGGTTGTGCATACAACTAGCTGAACCACCCCAATCAGCCTCAAAATCACTGGCCATGGAGAGGAATCTGGAAGTCAAAAATACCACTCAAAGTGGCATGTTTTGTCTGTTTTTAGCCAAAGAAGTTGTACTGACTCAAGACAACTTAAAGAGGAATGGGATACCATTATGTTCTAGATGTTTCTTTTTTGGGGAAACTGCTGAGGCAGTTAAACATCTTTTTCTACACAGTAAGATCACTGGCCATCTATGGAGGTTATTCCTGAGTCTTAAGGGTATGTCATGGACCATGCCTCCCAAGATCACATAAGCAATGTAGAGTTGGGAGGAAGCAGGAAAGCAATCCAAGAACAGAGACAAATGGAGAATTGTCTCAGCTAGTATATGGACTATGGTGGGAAAAATGGAAGTAAATGAATTCTAGAGCTTTTGATAGTATAGAGAATAGTGTGCAAAAAGACTTTTGAGACTTGTAGTCTTAAATATGCCTAGAATTTGTGTCTATATAAATAATCTCATTAAGGGTAAATTAGGCATTTTAAAGATAAATTTGTTTCCAAGTATAAAATGGTTTCATTCTTTTTGGGACAGACTATCAAAGAAAGAGTGCCACATAAGTTGGGCGGAGGGAATATATTGAAATCTCCCCATGATGATGTGTTTTCAGTTTAAATGGCATTGATTATCTGGAATTTGATATTGATTTTTACACAGCACAATAATTTAATACCAAAAGAGATGTGAACGGCGATTAAATTACTCACCCATATGATTAATTTATTATTTTCTTCCACATTAGGCTTTGGGGGTTTGTGTCTGCAAGAATTTTGTTTAAATCTTGCGTGGATCTTGTAGCTGTTTTTTTTTGTGTGAATCCTGTTATCTCTCAAAGAATGCTTTAATTGAGATTAACTGATTACTGGATTATAGATTGCAAGAATCATTTTGATATATTTTATTTTGATTATTTCCGATTTATAGTGTGCCCATAATGATGATTTTTTCCTCCTCATTATAGTCCTAGAATCCAGGTATCTTCAGAGAAATTGAAAATTATTGGCTTTTTAGCTATACTTGATCTTCCTGTCCTGCACATGTTAATTTTTTTTTCCTCAAAGGCTTGACTGATTTATTGAAAAAGGGGTATTTCCTCTTAAAAGACAGCATCTCTCACTATGCAGATTGGATACATAGAAGTTCTTTTTCTTTAAAAAATTAAATTTGACTCAAATTTGTTCAAGTTCTTCCTACATAAAAACTTAACTTTGCGCAACTACCAAAAAATTCACCTCATGTATCTGGTTGAGGGAAAATTATTGAGAGAAAAAAAAGGAAACAAGGGGCAGAGATATGATGGAAGTGGCTCTTGACATGCTTAAATCTACCTTGGCTCAGCTTTTGGCCATTCATGGGGATCAAACTAGTGGAGATCTTTTTATATTGTAGATTGTTAATAAAAGCCCGTGTCCTGCTTTCTTTCAATGTGCACCGATGTTATGGAAGTTGGGTAGTAGTTTCTTTTAGTTGCTTATTTCACCATTCTGGTTGCCATTTTTTTTTACTAAGATTGATTGTACTTATAATGGATACGTCCAGTCCTTGTTTGATATTGACAGCTCTGTTTTGATGTGTCTAAATATGCATTTCTTTATCTTGTCAGTCTGAATTGGATTATAATGGAGAGGACCAGTCGATGTCGCCTAGGCCACCGCCTCAGCATTCCCAACCATTGCATTTCACAAACTCAGGCTTCCATGTCTCTCCAGGACCAGTTGGCGTTGCCGTTCCAGGACATGGCTTACGATCTGATCATGATCAGCAACCAAAGAACAATGTTTTCTCGAATGCTCTTTCAAGCCCTGTTCGCCGAAGCCTACAAAATTATCATATTGCTCAAGGGAGTCACTTTTCGAACAATGCTCAACCTCCCAACGCTACAAGAAACAACGAAACTAACTCCCAACACCAAAATAGAGATTCTAATGGTTATAACTCTGCCGATGCATCCATGGATATGCATTCTGATAGTCCAGGTCATGACTCTACCTATTGACGCCATAATGTTTTGGAAGCTGGCTTTTGGCATGCCAGAGTGGTCAGACTGCAAGCTGAGGTAAGTTGACGTCTATTGTCGTGCAAGTGTTAAAGGTGTAAAAATAGATTGTGAAGTTGGCTGCTTGATGATGAGACGAGAAGTGTCCAGACATCAATATCATTATGCAAATGCTCATCGATAAAATGCTCCTTCGATGAGCACCATACCTTTTGAATACACTCCTATTTTCAGACCAGCTAGTCTTGTTTTGGATCTTTTGTGATATTTTTCATTAGTTACCAAACTATGTGATCGATGTCGTGTTGTTGTTTGGTTGCTTGTGTTTCTGCTTTTCTACCAAAGTAGCAGAATGCAATATTTCTTAGACCAATTTGCCAATGATTCTACAAGTTATGCCAGTGTAAACAGAGATATTTCGAAGTGAAAATAGAGCATAATTTATGCTACTCTTATGTTCATCTTTGCTTGAATCATTGTCATTGTTGGTCTATTCATTCATGAACACTTACTAGGATTTAAGTAGCAAGCCATCTACATATACATATAATAATTAAATGTTTACTTATGTATCTGAAAATGACTTGCAACTTGCATCCTATAGTGTAATTCCATTAGAGTGTAACTTTACTTTCATAAAAAATGGCCATTTACTTAGCGAGAAAAAGAGTGCGGCGACTAAGTGAAATGTAGGGTTTTGAGAAATAAATGAAGGAGAGTGAGGCTTTTATAGATCACAAAAAGCTTCGAACATTTAGGAAATTTTAAATCTACCCCTCACAATTATATTAATTGACAATTAATCCCTCTTTATTTTTTTTTGACTAAACACATATATAACCCTTTAAATTTAGTATTTAGTGTAAACTTGATACTTCAACTTTTAAAATATTATTTAGATACAAATATAAATAATATATTTATATCACACACACATACACACACAATTAGCCTCCTCGATATGATAAATCATGTATTTTATACGTAGCTTATACTAGTGAATTTACTAAGGAAATAATAAAAATACAAATATTTTATTATTTCCTAGTAAATTCACTAGTATTATAAGCTAAGTATAAAACACATGATTTGTCATGTCGAGGAGGCGCGCGCACACACGCACATGCACAATTAGCCTCCTCAACATGACAGATCATGTGTTTTATACTTAGCTTATACTAGTGAATTTACTAAGGAAATAATAAAATACAAATATAAAGGCAACACACACATACACACACATAATTAGCTTCCTCGACATGACAAATGATATGTTTTATACTTTGCTTATACTAGTGAGTTTACTAAGGAAATAATAAAATACAAATATATATAATTAGCTTCCTCGTTACTTTTTTGTCCCAATTTATGTGATAATATGAAAATTAAACAAAGAATTAACTTGTCTAATATACGTCTAAAATTTGTGTTGATATAAATAATATAATTAAGGATAAATCAGAAACTTTTTAGTTAAATTTATTTTTAATCTTAAAATGATTCCATTCCACTATTTCTAAAATTTACTAATAAAAATTGAGTGCCACTTAAATTGGAAAAAATCATACATTGAAATCTTCTTATAATGATGTGTTTTCAGTTTAAAAGGTATTGATTCTCAGAAATTTGATGTTGATTTTTACATGGCACAATAGTTTAATACCAAAAGAGATGTGAACGGTAATTAAATGCTCAGCCTTAGATTAATTTATTGTTTTCTTCCACATTAGGCTTTGGGGGCTTGTGATTTTTAGAATTTTGTTTAAAGCTTGAGTGATTCTCATCGTTAAGGTTAAAATAGATATTTTAAAATTAAATATATTGATCGCTTATTATATTTTCACTTATTCTATCTAGGTAGCAGAATGAATATTTCTATCATTCTTCAGGGTCTTATCCTCTCGAATTTTTGAAGTCTTCTCCTTTCTATTAAATCTAAAAAATAGAATAGAAAAGCATTTAGTAAATCATATTATATCGAAAGTTGGAAGCTTCAAAATGTAAAATTAAATTACTATTTTTATCCCTATAAAAAATAACATGTTATAACATATATAATTAATTAACTATTAAATAGTAACCATATCATATTATACTAATATATTTATATTAAACTACGTACTAATGCTAAATATATTAAAAGTGGAACGATATTAAGTCAAAAATTGAAAAATAAAAATATTCATACAAAATTGTTAGATATTTTTACCTTTTAAAAACTAAATTAGGCATTTTCAAAATCTATACTTTCATTTCTCCTTAAACTTATTTAACACACAATATATATATAGACATAAATAAGACTTTTATTGTTCAAAGTTCAATTAAGGCTTGTACCTATTGAACACTTTTGTTGTTCAAAATGAGTATCTATTAGGATTTAGGCACTTTCCGTTGACATGACAAAGAAGGTGCAATACACATATAGTTAGTGCATGGAGGGATATTTTAGCTTTTTATTTTATTTTTTTAGGATGAAAATTTTATTTTCCTTAATTTCATACTAAGAGTTGTATACTATATATTATTATTATAATCTCAAAATAAATGATTTCTATCTATTATTAATATGGCATGATTAATCAGAAGCACCAGAGTCGGAATTTAAAGTTTATTTATAATTCGAATTCACTATTAAATTCATAACTCTTCCTAATTAATGATTCACAATTACATATTTATCTTTTATAAATATATGATGTAAGTAAAAATTAGTTGGCTCCGCTCCTACTTTCAATTGAAAAAATAGCTTTTAGTAAATTATTTATACTTATTATTATTGTTATTATATATGTCCTATATCACATTTCGTGAATAACTATGTTGGAGAATGAATTTTAATATAGCGCCGAATAAACTACAACTCTATTCCCTACTCAAAAGCCGAAATCCACAGGAGTTGAAAGAAATCCCATGCTGAAAAAGATATACCTTCCCTATCACACTAGAATAACTAGCATAAGTCATCCTGAACATAGAAGAGAATTCAAGAGCAAAAAGGTCCAAAGTGAAATTCATTCATGAACACTTGCTAGGATTTAAGTAGCTAGTCATTTACAGATACATATTTATAAATAATAATTAAGTATTTAATTATATATCTGAAAATGACTTGCAACTTGCATCCTACAGTGTAATTTCATTAGAGTGTAGCTTTACTTTCATTAAAAATAATGTAACAAGTGATAGCTTTAACAAAAAATGAAAGATGCAATAGGGCACATGAAGGCCATTTACTTAGCGAGTAAAAGAGTGCGGCGACTAAGTGAAATGTAGGGTTTTGAGGATTAAAGGAAGAAGAGTGAGGCTTTTATAGATCACAAAAAGCTTCAAACTTTTAGGAAATTTTAAATCTACCCCTCACAATTATATTAATTGACAATTAATCCCCCTTTTTTTATTTACTAAACACATATATAAGCCTTTAAATTTAGTATTTATTGTCAACTTGATACTTCAACATTTTAGAGGATTATTTAGATACCTTTACATGATAAACATGTGTATTGTGAACATCTCACGATGATATGTCAAATCATGTGTTTTATACTTCGCTTATACTAGTAAATTTACTAAGGAAATAATAAAATACAAATATAAAGGCAACACACACGCACATACACGCATGATACTAAATGTAAAATATATAATTAATTAAATATTAAATAGTACCCATATCATATTATACTAATATTAATATGCGTATACTAAATACTAATGCTAAATATATTAAATGTGGAACGATGTTAAGTCAAAAGTTAAAAAACAAAAATATCTAGTTGTTAGAAACTTTTACCTTTTAAAATTAGGCATTGTTAAGATCTTTAATTTTTTATATTTATTTTCATTTCTCTCCTTCAACTTATTTAATACAATCTATATTTTATTTATCTATTTATTATTTATATTATAAAACCAGGCGTAAACAAAGTGATGTGACACCTCTCTATAATCAACATTCTTATATATCCTTTGGGTAAATAGTGAATTTGATTCTTGTGTTGTTATCTCATTCCAATTTTGTTCCTTGTATTATTTGTCTAAGCACATTAAACCCTTCAATTATTTAAAATGTCTCGATTGAAATATATTTATATATATTTATAAGGAACTGTATAAATATTAAACGTGACACCTTTAGAAACAATGAGCCTTATTGTGTCAGTGGTCAAAGCTCAAGTTATCACCTTAGGGATAGGGTTGCATGTTCGAGCCCTGCGTGGTACTCGAAAATTCAAAATTCTGAATCCCCCTCTTTGTTCAGTGGCAGATGTCCTGTACCACCTTTTGTGATTAACTATGTTGGAGAATAAATTTTAATATAGCACTAAATAAACTACAACTCTATTCAGTATCACATATTTAATCATTTCTTCCTCCACTACTCAATTGCAAGTGAGATCTGGAGCCTTTGGATATTTGTTTAGTATAAAAAGAAGTTTTACGGGTCGGGTACCGGGTCAAATCATAATTTTTTGGGTTGAAATGAATTGGGGATTTAACATTTTCTTTTTTGACTAAAAATCAAGTGTGATATCAATAAATTTAGCCAAATATATATTACTTTCCAACTTGAGTAAGCTCTTAAATAAAATAATAAAAGAAATGTGACTTTTATGATATAAAAGAAAGAAAGATATTTTTTTTGATTGAAATAGCAAATAGTAAGTTGCCTTTTTTATAATATAAAAGAAAAAAATATTTCTTTACCAAATATGCTATTGAATTTAATAGTTTATAAGTATTTTTAGATTTTTTAAAAAGTTAAAACTGATTCATATAATTTTATCGGCTTTGACAAATGATTAATAGATTTATGAATTTGTGATATAAAATTTTATTGACATGGACGATTAGTCCAGAATCTACAAATATTGATAGTATAAACTTGATCTCTATATATGAAATAATATTGCACCAACCTCGAAATAAGAGCTGGAATACTAAAAACAATTTAATCTTGATTCAGTTTCTTCATAGCATAAGAATGAGATGTTGTGAACTTACCACAATAGAACAAGAAGTTAGCATAGGTCATCCTAAACATGGAAGGAAATTCAAGAGCATCTATAGCAAAACCTTCTAAAGTGAAATATATTCGTGAACACTTGCTAGGATTTAAGTTGCTAGTCATCTGCAGGTACATTTTTAAAACAATAATTAAATGCTTACTTATGTATCTGAAAATGACTTGCAACTTGCATCCTACATGTTAAATCCAAAAAATGTAACTTTACTTCCATAAAAAATAACATAACAAGTGAAAACTTCAACAAAAAAAGATGAAAGATACTAAAGGCTTATGAATGCCATTCACATAGCTGAAAAAAAGAGCGAGGCGATCAGTGGCGGAGGCAGAAATTCTATCAAGGGGTTTAAAAAAATAATTAAATACGCTAATATTATCCATAAATAAACGGGTCGGGTCATATATGAACGGATTGATTAACAAACG